TTAGCAATCTCAAAAGTTTTGCAATAAAGAATTTCGCTTCCAGGTGTGACCATACCAGCACCAGTGCACCGAATCCCATTAAAACTCCACAGTTAAGCCTGCTTGGGCAGTAGTAGTACTAGGATGGGTGACCTCCTAGGAAGCCCTCATGTTGCACCCATACCTTATAACACTATCATTGTCAGGTCTCAAGCCCCGAATGTGAAAAGTGAAGGGTGGCGTTAGGCAGTCGACAACCAACGTAAAATTTGTCAAAAAATTATGACATGAATTCATTTGATCATTGAGTAAATGTTAGGGCGTCCCCAGGAAGCGACGCATTGTATAGCCTGAATATAGTGAAAAATGTGCAAGGGACATTGTATAGTCTGAATATAGTGAAAAATGTGCAAGGGTTGCTACACCAACACCTGGGTGTAACGTCAAATAAACAAGGGTTCTCACATTACGGACGAATGTGGATGAAGAAGTTAGTCTATGAAACTAATAGTATGATAGGATCTTAAAATGTAGGTACTCTCATAGGTAAATTAATATAATTAGTTGATATTATGATTCATAGAAAGATAAATATCATATGTATTCAAGAAACAGTATTCAAGAAACAAAATGTTCAAGAAACAAAATGGGTGGAAAAAAAGGCTAAGGTGATTGATAACTTAGGTTTTAAAATTTTGGTATTCAGGTAAGAGTCGCGTTAAAAATGTAGGTGTAATTATAGATAAGAGTTTGAAAAATAATGTTGTAAAAATTAATATAATTGGAGATAAAATTATAGCCCTTAAGGTTATTGTTGATACTAAGATTTTTAATATTATAAATGCTTATGCTCCTTAAGTAGGTTTAGATATAAGTTTTAAAGATAAATTTTGGAATGACCTAAAAGACTTAATACAAATGATACCTCTTGAAGAAAGAATTTTTATTGGAGGAGATTTAGATGGACATGTCTGGAGAGTGGTAGAAGATTTTAGATATATTCATGGTGGCTATGATTTTAGAGTGATTAATGAAGAAAGTAGAGTCATATTAGATTTTTCTTTTACGTATAATTTTGTTATTATTTATACTTTATTCAAGAAAAGAGATGAGCATCTTATTACTTATAAGAATTGATCTAATAAAACACAAATTGATTATTTTCTTATGAGAAGAAGAGATCGTTCAGATAGTAAAGTAAATGTAAAGATTTTAAGGTCATTCCAAGTAAGGATTTGAGTACTCAACATCGATTATTAGTTCTAAATTTTATGATGAAAAGATGTAAAATAAAGAATGCTATGAATCATTATCGTATAATTAGATAAGGGGGACTAAAAGACATAAAATTAATTTTATGAGTAAATTTCAAAATTTTAAGATTTAGGATGTTCATGAAGAAGCAAATTATATGTGGGTAACGTAACAAACACTATTAAGCAAGTGACAAAAGATGTACTAGGAGAATCAAAAAAAAAAGTTTCTATGAATAAAAAATAATTAGTGGTGGAATAATAATGTGCAAGAAAATATAAAATATAAAAAGTTACGTTATAAAAGTTGGTTTAAATATAAAAGCTAAGAGAACTAGGACAAATATAAAATGGTCTGTACGGAATCTATAAGAACAATTTGTGATGCTAAAAATTATATTTTTAATGATCTTTATAATATATTAGATACTAAAGAGGGTAAAATAAGTATAAATTAGCTAAATAAAGAGAAAAGAAAAGTAAATAGTTAACTCAAGTAAAGTGTATTAAAGATGAAAATCAAGGTGTTTTTCTTAGAAAAAAATTTATTTTGATAAACTTTCTAATGAAGTTTCTAAAAATATGATGGACCTTAGTGATCTTAATATCATTTATAATAATAAAATGTTTTATTTTTATCGTCACATTAGTAAAAAAAAAGTTGAGGCTTTAAGGAAAACGAAGAGTGAAAAATCTGTAGGACTTGATAATATCCCAATTGAAGTGTGGAAATATATAGGAGATTTGAGAGTTTCTTGGCTTAATAAACTCTTTAATATTATTTTAAAAACTAAAAAGATACCTGAGGAGCAAAGAAAGAGTATTTTGGTTCCCATTTTTAAGAATAAAAATGATCCACAAGAGTGTGTAAATTATAGAGGAATTAAGATGATGTGTCACACTTTAAAATTATGGGAGGGGGTAATTGGACATAGGTTAAGGCGTATTACAAAAATTTCTCATAATCAATTTGGATTTAAGCCGGGCAGGTCTACTCTGGAAGCTATACATTTATTGAGAGGTTTGATGGAGAAGTTCAAAGAGAATAAGGAGGATCAACAAATGATTTTTATTGATTTCGAAAAAGCTTATGATAAGGTTCCGGGATATATCCTTTGGAGAGTTCTAAAGAAGAAAGGTGTCGATATTACTTATATTCAAGCCATTAAAGATAAGTATATCAGAGATGTCACTTGCGTTCGAACAGGAGTAGTGACCAAATATTTTCCTATTTCAGTTGGATTACATCAAGGATCGACACGAAGCTCATATCCTTTTGCTTTAGTTATGGATGCTCTTACTGGACATTTACAAAAGGATGTACCTTGGCGTATACTTTTCGATGATGATATCCTTCTAGTGGATAAGACTAGAGAGAAAGCTCAGGAAAAACTTGAATTATGGAGATCTACATTGGAGTCTAAAAGGCCTTTGTTTGAGTAGAACTAAAATTGAATACATGGAATGTAATTTTAGTAGTAATAGCTATAATGACAGAAGTGTGGCTTTGGAGTTGTAAGTGTGAGTGATCAAATTATTAAAAGGTGTGAGCGCTTTAGATTTCTCGGGTCTATTGTTCAAAGTGATGGTGATATAGATGGGGATGTTATTTGTAGAATTCAAGTTGGTTGGTTGAAGTGGAGAAATGCTTCGGGCCTACTGTGCGATAGAAAAGTATCGCTTAGACTGAAAGAAAAATATTATAAGATGGTGATGAGACACGCAATATTCTATGGCGCTGAATGTTGGCCTTTAAAAGAGAAGCATAAAACTAAGTTAAGAGTTGTCGAGATGAGAATGCCTAGTGGATGAGTGGCTTTACACTAAAATGCGAAATAAATATATCCGTGATAAGGTTGGTGTAGCTCCAGTGGCGGACAAAATTAGAGAGAGTGGTCTTAGATGGTTTGGTCACATTAAAAGTCAACCATCTAATCATCTGATTAGGAGAGTAGATGTTTTAGATTCGACTTATGTTAAGAAAGACAAAGGTTGAACTATGAAGACTTGGATATATTGTATAAAAAATGATTTTAATTTATTAGAATTAAATGAAAATATGACATTAAATAGGAAGGATAGAATGGAGAAAAAAGATTCATGTAGCCGACCCCACTTAGTGGGATAACCGTTTATTTAGTGGGATAAACGTTTGTTGTTGTTGTCCACATCTTTGGGCAATGAAGGAAGCGTACATTTAAAAGTTTTAAGAAGATGAACGTCCTAACCTGTAATATAATCTCAAATATTATTTTTATTTAGAACATATATAGTAAGAATATGAATAATTATTACGACCATTGTTTTCTTCAAAAAGGTATAGTCAATTTTCTCTAACTTACCCAATCGTCTTCCCCATAATTAGTTCTTGAAAACAACATTGATTAGTAAAAAATATCAACCTACATATTTAACTTCTGATTATTTATGAATAACAAAACATTTACAATAAAGTCTACGACATGCAGTACATTGTTGAATGAATGACAAAGAAATGAGTATATTTTCTTTGTTTTATAACAAACAGCTTAGGATCCATCGACATTTTTTTACCACTAAGATAGAGTTGGTAGGTTATAAGAGGTTGTTATGTGTTCTATGACACTCAAGTAAATTATCTAAGTATTAGAGGAACTATTTGAAACACTAAAAATAAAATTATTGAAGTTTTACCAATTTGAGCTGGAAAGTATAACATAAATGTCTTTTCAAAAGTGTTCAAAATTTTTTTCTTATCCATTTTTATTTTATGGGGCTTCCTAATTTCGTTAAATAAATTTCTTATTTTTTAATGGTTCTTTGTATCCACTAAAGACTTGAGATCTTCCATGAAGTTTCCAGCAATTTTCTTTGTTATATGCCTCTTCATCTTGCAGCAGTTGCACCATTGATTGCCTTTCTTATAAATAAATTTGCCCTTCATTCTTGGTATGACCACTGGCGATCAATCCTCCATTTCGTGTTTCGTGATAAACATAACTAATCGTTCTCAGTTAATTGTTTCCAAAATTACTATCCTTCTTCAACATGTAAAATGGAGAAGGCTTCATTCAGTGATGGAATAATTTTTTGCCCAAGATTTGTATACAAGCTTGGTCTCTGTTGAGACCTACAAAAAACTCATAAATCATTTCCTTCTCAATCTATTGTTTTAAAGTTACAAAAAAGCAGATCAGATTGTAAACCCTGGAGTTCACCTTTGATTAAGTTAGTTTGATTCTTACCATGTATGATGATTGACTCTTCTTAAGAATTCAGAATTTTTAGGAGATGAGAAAAACAAAAAGTTCAAAGATGAATAAATAAATAAGAGAATTGGGAAGAAAAAAATTGTTAGAATTTAAACCATTATCTAGATATCTGATGGCATGTAACAAATAGAAGTATGTCTGAATTTCGATTCGGTTATCATAAATTCAAAGGGGGTATTTATCCACAAAGCTACTCAAATTATACTAGGAATCTATATAATTCTAAGAATAATAATAATAATAATTAAAATAAGTATAAAATCAAAAGCATTCCATAAATACTTTCTGCTGAATCCATGCATCATCAAGCCTGCTCATCAATTCCCTGTTGCCAACCTTCTTTTGAATTTATCTTCAAAATACTAAAATTTCTAAATTAAACTAATTTATGTTATAGAATTTAGCTAAATCGTACACATTATCCTACCCTTCTTCCTTAACTATTATTATAGATTAAAAACTAAAACAAAAGTAACATACATTTAGATCAAAATTTAGAATTAATAAAGGAAATTACCATCATTTAAAATTATCGCAATGCCCAATTCTCTTCCTATTGCTCTCTGATGCTCCTGCAAGTTCGCCAGTCGGGCTCAGCCGCTGTCTGCTTCCGAGTTGCACGTTACCACTTCAGGGCTGTTCGGTGGCCGGTTCTAAGCAGGATTTAATCAAAATCTTGCCAAACGGAAAAAAAACGCAACCGTAAATCCTGAGCTCCTGTAAATCATAAAATGCCGCCGATTCTCGAAAAGTTAAGTTGGACGGCGGATTTACGGGAGGGTGGGGGCTGGGGAGGAGACGAGGGTTACCTTCCTTCGTGGTTTCTGGTAGGAGTGAATCGGAAGGAGGACAAAGATTCGAGTTTCGAAGGTCTTTGCGAATCCGAATTCCTTCGTTGGGGCTGTTACCGCGACTTGTATCGCGAGCTTTCAGTCACGAAGGCGACGGTTTTGGGGGAAAGGCTAGCGTTTTTGGGTAGAGAAGGGGAAGTGGACTAGAGGAAGATGATTTCGTGGCTGTTATTTAATTTTAGTTAGTTTATTTGATTAATATTTAATGAATAATTAATATATTATAAAATTAATTATAGTTAAATAAACTTATCTGTAATTATTTAATCCCTCACATTCAGATTTTAACGGAAAGCAATTTACTCATTTTTACTGCTTTTGAAATAGTAGTTCTGCCCTTCTCCAGTATCAGAGAAAAATTTGTGTACGTAAGATATACGTAGCGTTGCGTACGTCATGAAAGTTATTCAAGAGGGTATTAGAGAGTCATATCTGTGTTATACCTCCTGTAACCTACATGTATCTTCTAGTACTGTTTGGTCTGATTTTTTCTTACTCGTAGGTAATCGAGAGTTCGGCTCGACGTCCCTCTTCTTTTTGTATATAAATAAATAAGAAATGAAATAGAATAAATATTTTTTTCCTGGAAATGATTAAATATTTTTCTATGACGTGTAGTCTCGATAGTGTTGGTACTTTGACTGAGGATCTATGGAGATTAGCCAACAATAGGGAGATCACTCGGGAGAAAGTTGTCAGGGAGATGATGGCTTTGAAGAGGCCCCATGGGAAAGGCGATCGTTTGTCATTCGGCAGAGGCCAGGGTCGGTCCAACTCGTCAGATCGATCGAGGGGAATGACAAAGGTTGGTATCACTTATCTACTTGTTTGTTTGTGTGTGAAATGCTTTTCCATGACTTTTGTGTAATTTGTTAGGTTCTGTGGAAGGGAGAGAGTGGGACTCTTCCCGTCCGCCTAGCCTTCCTAAGTCCAAAGGCTCATCAATGCGCTCGTCGGCTAGAGGAGTTATGGCGGCGACAGAGGGAGCCTCGTTCATGCCTCTGCGTGAGCGCGGTGAGGTGAGTCGCATCTCCCGCACAATCTCCATCGAGACCAATTCTGAGGAGGGACGAGGGGTAGCAGATCGAGCAGAAAGTGACATTCCTCAGAGGGAAGGAAAGGCTCATGTCCCCGATGTTGACTTTCCTCCTCGTCTCGTGCAAGAAGGGGTGGTTCTACCCAAGCGGTCGCTTTCACACGATCAAGGAGCCAGTGTCTGAACGAGCGGTCACTGTGCTTTTATTGATAGCGAGATCGAGTGGTTCCTTGCCAACTCGCTGAATGGAGACTATCCCTCTATCTTGATTGACATGTTATGGTCTCTTGCCATCGAGAGGAACTTGATGTCAATGGATAGAAGGGATATGTTTTAATCAGTCAGGCATTATCATGATCTTGCCTAACAGTCTTCGCACTTCCAGACCATCCTCTTGGACAAAGCCAAGGAGGGCATTGGGTGATCTGCCTCGAGGGCCTAGAAGTTGAAATGGAAACTCTATGGCAGAAGAGAAATTGAAGCTTTCCCTCGAGCGGCAGCAAATAGATGCCCCGCAGCATGAGGAAGAGGTGGCGGCTCTTCTTAAGGAAAATAAGGAGCTCAAGGTAAAATTTCATTGATGGTCACCAGAGCGGCATATGTCAAGGGTCTTTCTCTCCAGATTGCGGTTGGTACCTTCCTCGAGATCGATAGTTTTGTGAAAGCACAAGCCGACGGATCCTAAGTGGCAAAACATGGAGGAACTCAAGAAACTTTCAAATTCTAAAAGCGAGGAGTCTGTGTGGCTGGCGTCGAAGTTTCAGGGGGGCAGACACTAAGGAGACCTCAAATGCCCAAGGTTAGAGTAGTCTCATTTTATATGTTTTTTTTTTTTTTTTTTTCTTTTCCTTTTATTTCTTTATAAAGGAGATTACTACTTGTAATCTGCAAATAAATTGTTGCAATATATGAAAATTTTTTAGATTCAGGGTTTCGTTGTCTGACTTTTTTCTCTCTTACATGTTAATTGTTGGAATGCACGAGCAAACAGTGTTGTGAGTTGTTAACGAGTGTACATATATTTCACATATACGGTAGTCATAGATTCCTTTCAGAGCTTGTCATTGGCAAATGTTAATGTCATGCTTAGGGCGTAAGACGATCGTTCATGCATCCCTCGCGGAGCATGTCGCTGTCGGTTGCCAATACGTCCCTTGGGCCACTTGACCATCTTTGCATTAAAATCATCAATATTTGATTCTACATCAAATCTATTTGTAATATTCTTTTCAATATGTATCATCAATGAATTCTTAAAAAAGTTAATTTTTTTCATTTTATCTAAAATCTTCTCTCAATAATCTTCATGCTATAATAAACATATGTTTAATTATTCGTGTCAAAACAAAAGTGTCAATATCAATTTAATCAAAAGATCTATAAAATGATATATGATTGTACTTTCTAACTTAAACCAGTACTTGACAAAAATTAAAAATTATAGAGTAAATGAAGAATTTAGTTTTCAGTGCAACTTTTTTATATTGATAAAGTTTTCAAGATAAAACTTATTTGCATGTTGATAGACATCATTACAATTGAATAATGGAAATCCATCTCAATAATAAGAATACATTTTAGGGATTTTTTTTTTAATTTTAAGAAATGTATAAAAAGCATTTCAGGAGGTATTTTGTGACACCACTACATCTACATCCGCAAAATAATAAGCCAATAACTCAAAAGGTCTGTTTGGGGCAGCTTGTGCGTTTCGGGATAAGCAGTTTATCCTGAAACGAGGCTCGCAGGTCGATCGCGGGGGTCGGCCCGCAACATGCTTTTATTGTAAAAAACCCAAACGCGGCAGGCAACTTTTTCAAAAAACGTGAAAACTAAACGGTTATGCGGCATTTTTGAAAACGCCGCCGCACGCCGCACTTATAAGCTGCCCTAAACGGGCCCTTAATCTACTCAAGAAAATTGAACCACATTAAATAATTTCTGAATAACGCTGAAGCCACGACACATACGATCTACAAAGGCAGTTGAGTACTGCTAAATTTTCCCAAAAAAAAATAAAAAAAAAACGAATATTTACATACATGCCACAAAATTCTCCTGTAGTTACATATCAAACGCCTAAACTTTATTATTTGCATGCATCACTCAACTGTTAAATATCACATCAAAAACAACATTAATGTTAACTTTTTAAAGCGAAATACGTTTATCATACTGATAAGTTAAGACAATAAAATGTCATAAATGTAAATATCAAATTTTGCATGTTAGATATGTAAATACATAAGAATTGTGTAAAGCGTGCATGTTAAATTCTCCAAAACAAAAGCTTTTGAACAAAATTTAGCAGTTTTGAGAGGAAATTTGAGATTTCAGAGCATTTTCCACGAAAGGAGCAAAAATATAATGAGTAAAAAAAAGGCTTTTCCTCAATATGCACTAAACAATAGTCAGCCATGGCAGCTAAGCTTTTCCTCATCTGAGCAAGAGCTCTGAAATGAACTCCTGAATCACAGAAAGCCAAATGAAGAAATATGCACATTGAATTGAGTCTGATGATTCAGAACCCTACAACACAAACCATGGGTGTCTGAAACCCTACGAGATCGAGAATTTCGGCAAAATTCTGAATATCTTTTCAAGTTAAGCTTCAACCATTGGTTCAGGTCCTGAGGGGTCTGCATGATTCGCTACGGTTTTATTCGACTGCCGCACAGAGTTAAATAGCATATCCTTGATAACCTAGCAATCAAAAACCCCGTTCATGGCTGAGCAGAATATTTTTATTTTTTTGTTTAAGATTGATCAACAGTCGGAGATCGCCGATCAACCTCTATAGATTGGACTAATCGAGCGGCGGACCCCCTTCCAGTCCGTGTGTTATTCGAATCCTCCCAAAAGGGCTGGGATTCGAAACCCCGACCCGAGGGCCTTACGCCAAGGCCGCTACCAATAAGCCAGGGCTCGCGCAAGGGCAAAATATGAATATATATATATATATATATATAGAGAGAGAGAGAGAGAGAGAGAGAGAGAGAGAGAGAGAGAGAGAGAGAGAGAGAGAGAGAGAGAGAGAGAGAGAGAGAGAGAGAGAAACAAATTTACCTGGGACATAAGACCATGGACCTGCTCAACGGTAATTTTTGAGCTATCACGGGTTATCTTTGTCAGTTGGGATTCCTCCTATAATGAAGCATGAGGGACAATGAGTAAAGAAAAAAAAAAGGAAAAAAACTGAAATATATCTCGATAAAAATACATGGTAAGATATTGAGGAAAAAATGAGGAAAAAACTGAAATATATCTCCATAAAAATACATGGTAAGATATTGAGGAAAAAATGAAAAATATCCTCGGTCACATGTTTAGAGCGCTGAAGATGGAAAATTCACATTCAACAGCACACATAAGTGAGAAAAACTGAAATTTTATTGCATTAATCAAAAGTTTAATGAATTTTATATGCCTCGGAAGTCCTATACAGCCCACAGCAAACCAAAATTTGCCAAGCAATCTAAAGAAAGATATGCTCTAAGGTTTATATTGAGCTCCTTATAGAGTGGGATTCTGAGATAGAAGCAAGAACAAGAAAGTTATGGCTGTGGCATGTAAGATTGGATCAATTCATGACATGTACACCTCAATAATTTAATATGGCCTCCAAATGAGAAAATATAATCCTATGTCAGTAACTGAGAGCGCATATACCAAACAATATGATTCTGTAGCTGCTAACCAAGTAGAAAAACGTTAAAATAGTTAACAGTCAAACAAGCACTGCCAAGTGCCAACCAAAAAGCTTATCCGGCATAATCAGGAGTTCAACAGGATAAATCAAACCATATATGCATAAACTTGCTGACACATAGGCCAAGACATCAGTAGATGATGATGCGTTCATGTTGCTGTTATATACAAATTAAGTCACCACTTACGAATTAAATTCACCGCTCAGAGATGAAAGAGCTGCTCTACAACTTGGCTAGCCCACAGGAATAGAACTTTTTGGTGTGCCTCATACAAATCAACATTATGATGTGAGGAGCTTTTAGAAAGAAAAACAGAAGAAAGTATAACCAAGCAAAGCCTTCATCCGATGAGTATTGGCATATATAAATAATTATCAACCAGTAAATCACGAAAAGAATCTGAATAATGCTAAAAGCAAAATGCTTAATGTTGGAAGTTGTGCTAGTCATCCATACGCGATAGAACATTTAAGAAAAGAACATTACTGTGAAAGCTACAGTCAAGCCGTTAAGTGAAAGGTTGTTCCAGGAATGATTCACTATAGCAATAAACTAGTAAACTCAAACTAATTTATAGATCCTGAAGTTATTAATTAAAGACTTTAATCTTAGTTAAATATTTTCTTTCTTTCTCTTGGTATAACATACATAAGAGTGCAAGATATTTGTAATTAAAATTTTAATCTTTCCAAGAGACTGAATCGCCTTTTATTTATTTATTTATTTTGAAATAAACCGAATCACTATTTAATCTATCCTAAAATTATTGATCCTTAATTTTTTTTTTTTAAATAAACCTTCGTTGCTACAGATGCCTTCTCTAGCCATAAGCTACATCCATATTGGTATTCTCTCCTTTATCTTTTCCTTCAACAATATTTTCATTGTTGTGAATACTCCTGCACCCATTGCAACTTTCCATTTCTTGCTCAAGTTCTCCATCATCTTTTCACAACGATTGGACACCCACCTGCAGTGGACATCTTCTCAGAACTTCGTTGAAGCCAATACACCATCATGATGAAGTTGTCTACTCAAAATAGATATTCTAAGGAGATAAACTCTGAAGAAATAATTGTTTATTAAACATCTAAAAATCAAAAGAATATTCATGCTCATGTTGGCACTAGTCAAACAAAATAAAAACCAACACCATATCAAGAAGTATTTAATAAAAGGGATTAAAAGACTACAGAATTAATAGGGATTTAAAAATGCCTCAATCAAATAGTTTTTGCTCCTTGGCACTCTCAGTTAAGACTATCCTTCCCTATGGACAAAATCCTTAGATAATGCCATAAATGACTTAGAAATCATGGATTCAAAACATATCGCATGACACATACCTTATCAAACATATCATGAAGTTGCAAGGATGAAAGAAATCTATAGCATGCCAATGGTAGTTCACAATAAAATATAAGGCCGATGGGACCCTTGAGAAATTTAAAGCAAGATTAATGGCTAAGGTATACACACAATATTGAGCTTATTACTGGGAGATGGTTGCTTCAGTTCCTAAGATCAACACAATAAGACTATCAACCTTCACTGGGATTAGCAACATGTTAATCTTAGAAGTACATCCTTACTGTAATTTGAAAGAGGAAATATAGATCGAATAGAGTTCATGAAACACTCAAAGTCTGCAGACTAGAAAAAAAATGAAGATTTGCACAAGTAATGATAGTCCAAAAGTACAAATCAGGGGGATCACGCCTTATTCTTTAAACACTGAAATGTAGAGGCAGTCACAATATTATTGGTGATTGTTGATATAATTTGGACACCTACAAAACTACAGACTATGTAGTTCACTTGTATATAGAAGATCCATCGCTGGATAATACAACTTTTTTTAAGGTATTCTTGTCAAATAAAGAAACTAAAAAAATATATATATTATAACATAATCTAGTACACAAGCAAGCAAATTTAAAAGTAATGGCACAAGGGATACATAAGTTAATGTCCTTGAACATTCAACTCAAGGATCTAAAGAATCGGAATGTGGGAAGAGGCTATAAAATTTTATTTTGATAATAAATCAGCAATAAATATTGTATAAAATCTATGCAACATGATAGTGTAGCAAGTAGAGATGAATATTCTATAAAAAATTTACAATAACAAAATTTGTATACAATGTGTTTAAAATGATAAGCAGACAAGGAACTCAACAATACATAATTTAATGAAATTATTTTCAAACTTCTATACGATGAAAGCTATTAGAAGTGGAGCTTCCATTTGAAATCTGGAGATGATGATTTATTGAAGCATTAAAATAGGGAGATCTTATAAAAAAAAGGGAAGAAAATACTATCAAAATGAAAATAGAAGATATCTATTCACAACTTGAAAGAGAATATGTTACGTTGGTACCTAGCCTAGGGGCAATTTTATCTTTTATTATTAATTATTGTTTGGAATAATTAGGGCTTAATAGTTTAGGGTTAGCATTATGCATGTGATTGAGTTTTGAGTCTTGTGTTACGGTTTGACAAAGATTTCCTCCCTCTCCAATTGTAGTATTTTGAAGAGATCGCCCACCTCTTAAATTATAAATGTTCATCTTTACTATTTGTGTCGAGTTGTTTGTTGTTTTTGCAATAAAATATTTGCATGCCCTAAATTTTCAATGGAAATCACTCTGATTTATATCAAAGTGGTATCAGAGCATCGATCTGAGAATCTGGGAAGAAAAGAAGGCAATCGGCTCACAGAAGAGAATCATAGTCTTCCAGGGGAAAAAAGGATCACTACGTAAACACAGATTGATCAAATCACACAAAAGTTCTGATACAGTCGGGATCTAGCTAGCAAGGAAGAGATGACGGGATCACGTCGCTAGCAAAGAAGCGATGAAAAGATCGCATCATGAAGATACAGTCGCAATCAAACTAGCTGAGAAAACTGACAGGCTCGGGCATACAGTACCCATGTGATACAGTCGCAATCCAACCTAGCTAGGACAAAGACGGGATCGCGGGCACTTGATGTTAAGCAGATTCGATCGCGGCATACAAGAGACCAGCGGCATGAATAAACCATATGATACAATGTGATAAGAGCTAGTAGGGAAGACTAGAGAGATCATCGTGACATATAGACGCCGCTTTCACCCACTTTAATCACTTACAACCTTGTTCTAAGTCATTAGTCTATTCGCTGACAGGATTGTGACTTAAGACCTCGCTTAAAAGCAGTGATTTAGGCTCCCGATGAACCCAACAACGAGATCGCAGCCAAAAGGAGTTCCAAAACCGTGTAGAGAATAATTGTGGCCAAAAAAGTAATGATTTGAAAAATAAATTGGAGGAAGATGTGAGCCAAATAAAATTTGAGATAGAGGAAAGATTCTCAATCATAGACGAACAATTTTCATCTGTTGACAACCGATTTAAAAGCTTGGAGGAGATGAGAGGAGGCTTATCGACAAGCAATCCAAGACCACGCCAGAGGCTCAATTTGCAAACCATAACCAAAGGGTTGACAGGAGAATCAATGGCTAAATTGAAAGGAAAAGAGATCGGACAAGAGGAACACGAGGAGGAAAATATCTAACATCAAGAACCCCTCCTAAAGCTCTGCTGGGGGTGAATTAGAAATTTTTGATAGAGGCAGTTGGGTTGAAACATGGAAAATGGGTTATGCAAGAGGTATGGAGGAGCACTAAGAAGGAATGAGAGAAGCTAGAACAGGGTATGGCTAAGATTGAAGGAGAGAGTTTTATCCTCAATATATAAAAGGAAATACCTGAGGGAGAAGGAGTTGGCGTGTAGATGCTAAGGTTAGAAAGTTGAAGATGTAAATCTTCAAGTGAGAAGACGCATATGGATGAGTGTACCAGGTGAAGTCATTTTGAGGTGGATGAACTAAGTGGGAAGAAGAAGCACATGACGGTAGGGTTATGTTTGGAAGGAAAAACCCCAGCATGATTTCAATTGGGGGAGGCTAGATACTTGATCCTCTCACGGGAGGAGTTTAGGGATTACTTATTGTAACATTTCCGAGTCATTCGAGAAGGAAACCTGCATGAGCAATTATTTGCATTGACTCAGAAAGAGAATGTTATGGAGTATAGATAGATATTCAAGTTATTGTCAAAACGACTAAGAGGGATTTCTGAAACAGTATGGGAGGAAAATTTTATGAAAGTACTAAAGCCCGAAATTCATGCAACACTTCATCCGCTGAGACGGCGAGGCTGGGCTTGTATTGGAGGGAACATTTCCAAGTCAATTGAGAAGGAGACCTACACAAGCAATTGTTTGGATTGACTCGGTAAGGGATTGTTATGGAGTGTAGAGAGAGATTTGAGCTATTGCCGAGAAGGCTAAGAGGCATTGGAAGCAGTACTATATGGAAATTTCATGAAAGGACTAAAGGCTGACATACGTGCGACACTTCATCCGCTGAGGCTGCGAGGCT